AATAAATGCATTTATTTGATGTTTTTAAGATATTTCTTGATATGCACTGAATTCATGTAAAACTCATTTTTAATTTGTTTTGTTTTTCTGTTGAAGCTATGTTCGTTTGGCAGGTTCACGCTGGTTGTCAAACTTATGACACTATCACTTGGTCAATTTACACTAAACAGCCGTCTCTGATAATGATTTTTTATTCAACTTTACTATGCTATAATATTCCGCTGCTGAAATGACCATGTCCATGACGTGGTAAATCCGTCCCGTGCTAATATGCAGTGTCATGTTTTGCTCGTGATGATGGAGCGATAGCTTGTAGTAGAACAGAACAATTAAACAATTAGCAACCAATTAGTACCATACCTGTATATTTCACTTTCTTTTTCTCATCCTCTTTTTTCTTTTTACGATACTGAGACCCTGATGGCTTTGACCTTTTCATGATGATGAAACTAAAAAAAACACTTAATCCAGGTAAGCATGGATGACGACGTTCCCCTGCCGCCCCTAGCTCTCTGTGTGTTATATGTTTACAAAAATATTTATAAGAACCCATGCATGAAAAAATGGAAAAAAAAAAGATTAATCATATATTTCAGAGCAAATTGAAACTCTTATTAAGGTAATAATAATAATAATAATAAAATATATATAAATAAAAAAAATATATTGGTGGGGCGGGGGCTCTCACTGGCGCCCCCCATCTGTTTGCGCCCTAGGCGACCGCCTAGTTTGCCTATGCCTAGAAACGGCACTGATTGCAAATCATTTGAACGTTGTGTCAGTTTACTGTTGAGGATTTGTCGTGTCGCATCACGGATTATAACGAGTTCTATTGTATTTTATTGCATTGCGTCGCTCGCGTCTGTTGTAGACATGATGCAAGTTAATGTAGCTCTCTGATGCTGCGTTTGAATTTTCATGCCACATTATTTGAAATTAGCGCGGGCCAAACTTTTTTCTCTCACGGGCCGGATGTCGCCTGCGGGCCACCTATTGAGGAACCGTGCTCTATGGACTACTGAATCATTGGTTCACACGATTCGGTCAAAACGCGGATTCATTCAGAAACTAAACACTGCTGTGTTGCTCAGAGACGCGCAACAATTCTGCTGTGGATTTTAGGTAATATTTTCATTGGCAGAATTGAACAAAAACTCACAAAATTGTGTTTAAAATATGGCACAATATTAACTTCTTAGTTACTGAATTGTTGTATAAAATCTAATTTGCACTTGTTCTTCGTGACAAAAACAGCACTCGTGTGATATTGACAGAAACTCATACAGAGGCATTTTTTTTGCACTAACATCTTGAATTTTAGGGCATAACTGTATTTATGGAGTTGTTGCCCTGCATCATATTTGTCAACAGTCAAAACTCCAAAATCGTTGAGTCAAACAGAGCAGTTTTCTTTTATTAGGCTCCTTTCTCCACACAGTCACTCTCACAGCAGAACAGGTGGCGACAGCCTTCCACAAAGGAAATAGAACTGTGTTCATTTCAAATAACCTCAAAATTACAATACATAACGCATTATAAAAGGAAATAATGAAGTTGAGACTGCAGCTAACTTAATAGTAAGCTCATCGTTCACAAACTTACTAAAACACAGGAAAGATAAACTACAGCATATGACAGACAAAGATAAACGCTGGATGTAATCCAAAAAAGGAGAATTAGACCATAAAATACACAAATAGACCTTAAACATAATATAATATACATGAAAATATGCTCAGCCACATGGAACATAGGAAACGTGCAATAATATCAGAAATACAAAACAATCTATCAAAAATAATGTCTGATACACATTATCCAACCTATCATCAACAATATATTTCTTCTAATAACATGGATGGCTAATATAATTAGATCAATTTAATGGATGTAGTGGAGCAAACTGATAAACCCTCCTTACCTTTCACAAAGGAAATAGAACTGTGAGTGAAAAGAAGGGCTCACTCCTCTAATGAGAACACAACGCACAGCTCCCCCCAAAGGCCGGGAGAACACATTACATCTTCCCTACATATATATATATATATATTAAACATAACATAATATACATGAAAATTATGCTCAGCCACATGGAACATAGGAAACGTGCAATAATATCAGAAATACAAAACAATCTATCAAAAATAATGTCTGATACACATTAGCCAACCTCTCATCAACAATATATTTATTCAAATAACATGGATGTCTAATATAATTAGATTTAATGGATATAGTGGAGCAAACTGATAACCCTCCTTACCTTTCACAAAGGAAATAGAACTGTGGGTGAAAGCCAAAGGTGAAAAGAAGGGCTCACTCCCCTAATGAGAACACAACGCACAGCTCCCCCCAAAAGGCCGGGAGAACACATT